CTTCTTTAGAGAGTAGACGTTAAGTAAAAAATGTGCCTTTGGGAGGTAAACTTTTAGCCGGATCAATATGGGGGTCATTCAAGGTACTAACTGTTATTGTGTAGGGGTGTACGTCTTTTGTCTTGACTTGAAAGATTGAAAGCGCAGAGGTACCGTGGAAGTGTAATAAGTAGTAAGTATACGCACTCGCACACTGGCTAAAAGTTTGCCATCACATGAGGTTTATGTAGAAGTTTCTTGACCATATAGTTCATACGTTCATGTCGCCTTTTAATGTAGTTCCTTGCACGTCAAAAATAGTAACCTCTGTATGCATAATACCCTACCCAGCTGCACGATGGACAAAGTCACGAGGCATGCACGCACATTACAATCATAGCAGAGATATGTGAGCCGAAAAAAACTTTGCAGAGTAAAATTAGGAGGTTCTGAGATAAAAGCAAACTCGTCGGCAGATCCCAGCAATATCACATCATACATCCCTGCATCATAGGGATATGCATTAATATCAGTTATTAAATCAGAGTATAGAGTGCTGATCAATTCACTCTCGCGTCGTGCATTTTTTCTCGTGTACTATTATTGTTGAGTGAGATGAATCAGATGTGGACCTGGAGACGATCAGCAGACGTGAAATAGGGAAGTGCAGCGGGCTGAGAAACTTCACCTACGGGCACATCACCATCACCCAGGGCTGCTGCTGACAGGCTACTCTCGGGGCGGCCGTCAGTCGGACCGGCGTGAGGAACTTTTTTCTCGTGGATATCCTCAGGCACATCAAGATCATTCTGTAAACTAGAAAGGTAAAATTTGCAGGCAAATGCCAAGATGTTCACCTTCGGATGGTCTCATGACCGAACGCTTATTGCTTGCGCGGTGATAAAGAAACAAAGTGAAACAATTGAGAACATACAAGTACTGTCTCCCCAACTGATTACAATACTGCCACTACTAGATTGCTATTATGAGATCTGGCTTCGTTTTAACGGCAGTGGATAGTAAATATCCCCACGCTCTGTATGATGAGTGAGTTTTGTGATCTAGGTAGATCCAACGGCTATTCTTTACACTATTATCACCAACTTGCAATCGTAGTTATTGAGAAAACACAACGATTTAAAATTTGTGTGTACCTGAAGATTTGTGTATAGATAGATAAAGTTTTAAAGTTCGTAAAGAATCGCACACTCTAAGGCTCCGCAATTGAGATTATAAAGCTAATCATACAAACAAATCTCTACCACGTTCTCTTAGATGATATGTACATATAGCCTATGAAATACGCACTTGTTATAGAAAATTGCAGTCGTCACAAGCACATTCAGTACCAATCACCGCGGCGAGAAAATTGTTCGCGGATTAGACTCATTAGTGAATTTATTGTCAATGTTGAAGTCTGGTAACGTTTTTGAGATTTCAAAGTGTACCCTTTTATCACAAATTACACTACAAAGCAACATCGTCAGGTGCAAAGTTGCCGACTACTACTTCAAACTGGCTGAGTGCACATTACTTTGCAATTTTCTTTTCAAGTCGGAGCCAAGTCGCAGACTTCACACTCGAGTAACCATACTTACATCGACGCCACGACTGACATTTACACTGCCTTTTTAATTGACGACTTTCAACGGCAGAACTTTCAAATTACATGGCTCCCCCACCTCCTCCGACAGCCAAAGCCAGCTGAGAAAATCTCATAAATAACGGTTGGAGCTCCGTCACCACAATAGGTGTCTGACATGGGGTTAACTGGAGGAGCGAAGGATGTTGAGAGCTTTGAGCTTTAGGGTCAGCAGAGCTGATGAAAGTGTTGGTAAGATTCCAACAAATTCCATATATATATATATAGAGAGAGAGAGAGAAAGAGAGAGAGAGAGAGAGAGAGAGAGAGAAAGGGACAGGCAGACAGAGAGAGAGAGTAGAGAGAGATACAGACAGAAAGACAGGGACAGAGAGAGACTGCAGAGCCAGAGAGAGACAGCGGGAAGGAAATTGAAGGAAAATCAGAGTTCCTGAATCTTACGTCTCCAGAAGTACGGCTGTGACAATGCCAAGTTAGCCCTCTACAGTTCTAGTGTTTCCATCCACGTGCGATCTCATGAATAATCCAGGCGATGATAAACCAGAGGTAATGACATGGTTCCTGAACCTCCAGCAGGCAGCAGGCGGGAGGCTCAGGCTGGAGGACGGGGAAGATAAACCGGTCGTCTGACGGAAACTTTTTTATTTTATTTCAGGAGAGTCAGCGAGTGGATCATGCATCTGACAAAGATTGACGAGATCGACCGAAAATTCATGGTGAGTTTCTTGCCTGTGTCGGAACAAAGTTTAAACTCTACAACTCTATGGATTCCACCAACATATTAGCTTCCATTAGAACAACACATAGTGGTTACGCACTCAAACGAAATATCTTATATTAACGCCACCACTAGACATAAAATAATAATTACAACAAGAGACAGAAATATGAACATCGCCCGATATACAGGAACAAAATAAGACAATCATGATGCTGTTATTTGTATACAATTTGAATCAGTAGTGAAATTGTTTAGTTTTATACTATACATGTATATCTGTGTGCTAGCGAGAATTTGAATGACACTTTTGTTGAAGCAAAGACACGGGCACCATACGTAATTTATCGATACGAAAACATGTTTTATATAATTGTATATAATCATACTTATCCTGCCTTTGTAATTAATTGTACCTATTCTCTTTTGCTATGAAGGCAGTGGCACCATTCTAATGCACACCTGCTCATATACATATCATATTCCGGCCCTTGTGTGTACCACATGCATATTTCGTGAGGAGTTAATAGATTAATTTACTGATGCTGTAAAGTGTGATACAGCTTCCACTGTGGCTTCAGATATGTAATTTAGACCGGGTTTTATGGTGCTTTTATGACAGCTATTATGCTTTTCTTGGCGCCGTTTTCGAAGCAGAAATGCCCTTAAGTAAAGCCTTAACAGGTCTTATGAGACCGACATATCATTCTAAGTCTGAAACAGAATCTTTTAAAAACCTGTTTTAAATCTAATACCTGAAGTGATACTTTAACGCACAGCCTTCTCTTGAAGCTGTGACATAACTGTAGCAGACTGCACTTGGATTACGGTTCAGAACCAAACCAGGATCGGAGGGGGGGGGTTAATGGGTATGTGGTCCGTAGTCAAGTGAGCGGTTGTGGGTTAATAAAGACATATATGTCTGGGGTTCTCCAACGCCCCTCATTTCTGTGGCGTACTGAAGCACCAAGCACATTGGAAAGCTCCTTATCAAAATATTCATGATTTATTTCGAAATCTGCTTCCGTTCTGTTATCTCACTTTTTCTCTAAATTGGCATTTTCCATCTGCTCATTTTTCAGACGCAGTAGGAGATGAGCGGTTAACCATCAGTAATTCAGCGGTGAGGTGGGGGAAAAATAACCGTGAGACTGGGAGGAAAGGACAGGGCCCGAAATCCTTTTTCTGCATACCGGCACTGGGTATGGATCATACTAAAACTGATCAGAAACCATTGTCAGTATTTCTTTCATGTGGTGGTCAACGCAGCAAATAAAAATCACACGATATACACCTACATGGACAAGTGTTATATTAGTTGCAAGTACGAATACCTTCACAGCTCCAATTTCAAATGCAATATATACCCAGTATTTCCAGCCCTGTTAGGATACCATGCTGGGCCATAATGTTTACTGTCAGAATCAATCAGTGCATACATTTCCCTTGCATTAGTTTAATGGATTTACTCCATACATCAAATAGATCATGTTTCCATGTTTCCAGTATAATTACAATCATCGTTACAGCCAGTGTACCTGAGAATATTTTGCAAAATTCCAAAAAATGAGACATTTAATGGAAGAGGACGTCAGTGCAATAATAACTGTAGAACGAAAATATCAATACCATAAAACGTCTAACTCAGTGTTCGTGCTGAGACCATGAGCATTGAAAATATCAAAGGAGATGAGTTTAGCCACTCTTCCTCAAACCGTACCTTTCTATAATCATCTAAGTTCCACACCGTATAACACAGAGCTTTTGCAAACTAAGTTGACTATACAAGATTTAGGACTAGAGTTCAGCCACCAATTCCAAAATAATCAGCCCCTAGTTCTTGCTCCGGTGCTCCGTGTGCACTTTCTGACATTAGCCAACGGGACGCTATACCTTTTCCTCTACAAAGGAATAACTAGATAACCTTCCTGTACTGCCATTTTCTTTCTCCATAAGATAAACTAGATTGAGTTATCTCTTGAGAGACGTTGTGCTTTCCATAGTAATGACGCGAAAGTAGCCCGTGATGTGTAGGATTTGTTCCGCCAGTCAGCCCACTGTGATCTTCGGAGGCCGTTGCTTACAAACTCATTAACCGCCTCGTCAAGCACCAGGAAGTTCGGTCTATCTGATCGTCTGACCAACATGTGATAGCCATTTCTGGCATATCTGGGCACTTACTGCCACAAGGCTAATGCTTACCGTCCATCTTTTCCAGCGATATTTTTAAGAACATCAAATTGGCAAAACCGGTAGCATTTCTTTGTGTGCAGGGAATTCAAACCACTGCTATAAAGCATTGAGGCGTTGTCATGCAGAGCTGGCTATAACTCCGCAGAATCTTACTTACTCAAATTCCAGCGCTACAGAGTCCATTCATTATACCTATATAGCTATTGCGGCAATTATCGTATTCGTTACATGTACGTGTCCAGCCAGACATACTTCTGGCCGGAGTATGGATCTAGTCCAGGTCTAAAAAGATTGCCAAAAGAAATCTCATATACAAGGCTGTCAGCACGGTGATTCATTGCTATTACCAATGTATGGAAAAGGCTACAATCGACCGTAATGATTGAACAGAGCGTGCCCAGACATAACATTGCACATGTATAAGTATGTATGGATGTATCTATCTCTGTACACATTTATCTACATTTATCATCCATTCAATGGCGTGAGGTATTGTGTGAAACTCACCTGTCCCTGTTCCCCGTTCACTGCCGACTAGTACCATGCGCGAGGAGAGAGCCAAAGCCGCCACGACCAGGAACGTTCTCCCACGTGCGTGCACCATGTTGTCCACAACCTTTCTCTTCTCTCTTCTCCACAGACCTGTAGACACCTCCGCAAACCCTGGGCTTATGTTCCAGAGTTGTTTTTGCCGCCCGTGTGCGCTGAAGCTCGCTGAGTGCGAGTCTGTAAGTCTGGTCGGTCCGACTTGGTGCGGAAACAGCCCGGGCGCTGCTTTTTTACGTGGTGTGGTCGAGAGGTGCTACCACTCTGTGCACCGATGCGCGCCTCTGTGGTGTGGTTACCGCCTACCGGGCTGCGATACGTGGCTCAGATAAAGTAATTTAATTCAGGAACGTAGCAACGCAGAGTCTCGGAGGATTTTCCCCACACGCGATCGAAAATTGCAAACACAACTCTGTGTATGAGCCGGTTAAAAATGGGGGAATCTTTCTCTTCCAAATAACTACGGTTCCCATAAACGTCTGGCGCTCGCAGGGGTCGATGGCAGAATTCAATCTTGAAGAAAAACTGCCCAGTTCCGATGAAATTTACGGCGATATAAGCCCGGGCGACCGGGGCCAAATTGCTCTCCCCGGACAGCTAGCGTCTCGGCGGTCCCCCGGCAGTGCCCGTGCTCATCACCTATCTGTCCCGGCCTCGATGTTTACCGATTTTGCGGACGTGGAACCAATTTAGCTAAATTTACTGCGATCGAATCGGGCGAGAACGCGACAGTTCTACATCAGCGCTCATTGGAGAAGTTAAGGAATACAAATGGCCAGCTGTGGCGGAGAGAGGGCCTTATATTTACGCGCCACGCCGTACGTTAGCGACGTCATCAACGGCAATCCAACAGACCAATCAATCATGACTTGGGGGCAATCAAGAGCCAATGAAAATGAAGAGCGCGGACGACTTTAATGATAGAACTAGAGGGAATGTACCATTTACACACGGGAGGTTGGGAAAGTATACTTTAGAAAAACTCCTTTGTCAGCTAATTCTAGGCACTAGAAGGACGCTTTGGAATAAAGACGGTTAGGTGTTCCCCTCTTTTGTTGGAAGGGGTTCTAAGATGTGAAAAGGCCCTAGCCCAGTCATTCAAAAGCGAAGCCCTCAAAGGTTTTGATCTTTTCAAATGCCATCAACATTTTCTGTTTTTATTCTAGTTGATGCTGGGATGGGATCGGATTTAAGAGCATGATATCTGTAAGCTGCATCTTTAACACGTGCCTATGTTTAAAAGTTGTGGAGATAAAGTTTAGTCTTTACTTCATAAATTTGTAGATTTTTATAACTTAACAGAATCTTTTTTACGTAGGTTATTCTTTACCCATTGGGAAATTATGAATGTCAATCAAGTTCTTTATTGCAATTTCATGCCCGAGGGTTAATTGCAAACTGACAAGGACAATGTATTCAAGAATGGTATTAAGTTTTACTTCCAATCTAGATTTCTATCTCTACTTAAAACTAATAAAGTATGTATATTTGACAGAGAGCGGATATGTAATACATAAACAGGTAGGAGAAACATATGAAAACTACCATTCTATTTCTAGTGTGTACACACCTTGCTCAAAACTAAGTAAGCAGGAAGCGGCGTGACCGGTCCAACACACGTATATGTTTGTCATGGAAATAAAAAAAACTTGACCGTTAATGTTAAAGTGACAACTCGGTTTATCAAATTCTGAGTTTTCTAGATATGGTAATCATCTTATTTATCGCATTAAAAATAAATGTATCACATTGACATCGTAATTCATGTGAAGCAGTCAGTATTTTTATCTGAAGATGCTAGAAAATTACCATGTCAAATGATAGGGTTATCCAACTCTATTTTTGTCGCTGCTTGCCCCGATGTCAGGCAGTAACGGTAGAATACGTCGCATCAAATAATTGGCATCTTACTTTCACATCTACGGCAATGTTGGTTTGATTATATGGATGACATCCTCTGGGAACCCAAAACTGATGCAAGCGTGCGAACAAAGAAAAGTTTGTCAAAAAATTACCTACGTGGTCACGAAGGTAGAACAAACGACTAAACACGATGTAAAGAATAATAGGCTCTTTATTTTCGTTTCCTCACGTTTCCTTTTTTCCCTTTTGAAACGATTTTGGCAGTCTACGACATTGGTATTTTTCCCCAATATTTTCGGCATATATTTGCTAATTTTGAAGCTGATTTGTACGATTTATAGTATGGTCCAAAACGGACTAACATCCATGCGCCCGCGGATGCCATCCATATAATCAAATCAACATGGCCTAACATACGAAGGAAAAAAAAACCTGTAATTTACACAAGTCCCCGGGGCTTCCTCGTTCCACACACTTCTCTAAGTCTTATCCGCCCCCATCTCCTGCCCTAATGTACACTCCCAGCCCTAATGTACCCGTCTGTTGACAGAGCAGCAGATCGTACCGTGGTTATCCATGACCTCCCCCGACCCGCTGCCAGAGGCGGCATCACTGATACAGCGTGGCAGGTCGCACTTTGTCTGCCGAGCGAGCGGATTACCTGACGAGATTCTACTGCACACAGACAGGATCAGCAAAGAACGTACCGCTAAATCACAGCCTGGAAACGTCCGTTGACTTCACTTTGAGAAGCTGACATTAGTACGGCAACAGGAACACCGGGTCGACGCGGTTATATGAAATACTGCATGTAGAATACTAAATCATAGGCGGAAAGTATGGTAAAATCACTGCACGAAATCATATCTTAAGCACACATTAAATCATGCGTAAAGTTACACACAGGTAAAGAAACGGAACGTTTCCTCATGCTTAAAGGTGTGCGTAAAAGTGATAAGTCGACAGTGATCTTTGAATATCTGATTATTGTGTAGTGTGTTCCCTTTGTGTTGGAATGAAGTTTAGCATCATACTATGATAACTACCAACACAGGTGAACTTCCATGATACAGCATCAGTATAGTCAATACTGACCGAAGGAGGCCGTATACTTGGAAACTCCGTTTGTGTGTCTGATGCAATGATCAATATTCCACATGTACTTGGTCTGCCTTTTAAGATACAGTTGAATCAGATACAGAACAGTACTCGAAGTTCAAAGCGAAGTGCACGGTTGCCGTCCTCGAGAAGACCGTTAATCGATTTTAGATGAGGTAGACTTCAACAATCTCTTCAGGCTTTCAGGTAAAAGAACTCGATAAAAGAGCCTTGTGTATCTAGACTAATTGAAAAGTTTAGTTTAGTTCAAATTTACTTGGTCCATGTTTACATGGCTAATTAGATAATTTGATAAATGAAAAACTGACGTACAAATCAGGCATTAGGAGAGACATATAGGGCATCTTTGTTTTGTGTCGTCAAGGTAATCAATTATCTAATTGGCATGCTTTATAAAATATAATAGAAGTTCAATGGTTGAACTTGCACCACCTTTTATACATACAACCCACTACAGTAGTAAAACGTGCTGAATGCTCTTCTAGGCCCTTCTTATTCTATATTATAGCGTCTTGGCAAAGATTCTCGATTCTGACTATGAGCTTTGCTTGACAGGATGATATTTTCACGTCGTATCTAACCTAATCTCACATTTGATGTTCACGTCTAACGATACCCTGGGGTCATATTTAAATCACCCCGCACTCCAGATCCATTCTTATGACCAACAAGAGCAGACATACCGACCATACGGTTACGCAGAACAAAGTTAAAAATTCCTTACATTTGACGCTGTGCCAGTTTCAAATCTCAGTGGTAGCGTTACGGAAAGGCAAGGCTATTGAGTGAAGCGGTCCAGATCAAATCTATAGGATGTGATTGCCTCAACCAGAAAGTTCTCCAACTCTGTTTTTATGACAGTGAATCAGGATAATTTGAGTTGAGAAAACCATACATTAAAATAGATGATGGTAATCACGACCTTCTATCCATAACCAATTAGACAAGTCCAAAAACAAAACAACATTTATAAAAAATGTACATATTTCATGGAGGTATGAGATCTCCGAAGTCTTGTGATGATAATGGATCAGGTTATTGAGTGTCTAGGAATGAATCCTTCGGGAATGTGAGGTTTTAATCAAAACAGCACAACAAGAACGCAGCTGCGCAGTGCCCATGGCTGCAACGGCTGATGCTAGCCCGGTAGACTCTGCCGCAGAATCTGCAACAGAAGCTCTAGTCGGCATCCTTCCCTTCTGAGAGTCTCTTCCGGCTGTTTCTTGTCTCTACGTATATCGTACTTTCTCTGACAGCCTTAACAGTCCCATACAAGTGTGTGTGGTAACAGCTCTAGTACCAGGAAGGATTTAACCTGTAACACGACTTACTGGTAAAAGAGTAGAAGCTTTCAGCCTGCATCCACCATCTTTCTACAGTTCTATCTTTAATCTCTCGTGACAGAAGCAGATTTCTGCTATACAGGTCATGTTGGCTTACATATCTGGTATCACAATATGATTCATCCACAAGCACTTCTTCAGTTGCGCATTGCTCGCATGAACAGAAGCATTCAAACAAAACATGACCCAGTTCTGTCACTATGAGGTCCTCGCTGATGCCTGATGAGTTGCACAGGGCTATCATCCCTTTTCTACCGTCTTTCTTCTTGTGACGGCTTTTTAGAAGCCCCAAGAAAAAAATGCTTTGTGGACAGCCCATGCGGTTTTACTTCTTTGTGTCGTTGAATGAATGGTTGTTACACTGGCGGATGCCTGTTATTATGGTTAGAGGGTACCTACAGTACTAGGTCGTCACATTTGTAACGGCTTGAGTGCCACTGGATTTTGGGAATATGAAAGGCACGTGGAAATTTCACGGCAGTAAAACTTGAAACTCTCATCTATCAATATATGGATAATATTTGTTAGGCAAACGCATAATATTAACATTCACATGGTGCAGCCAAACAAACTACTGCTTTGTTTATTCTTACTCAAACACATTCATATACTTGTAAATGGTGACCAGAGTAGTATGTAGCCAGGCCTGCTGACCAGCCCCTTCGACTCTGTCCTGAAACTTGCTACATAATGTAACCCAACACAAGAGGGTATCTGCTACAGCACCAGTTCTATCCCAGACGTCTGGTCCAGGTCATTGACCTTATTTGTTCGGAGAAGAAGGAACAGCTTCTGCGAAGGTAAATATAATCATAAGTCAAACTCTGGAAAACTTAAGAATAAACCTATAAGTTTAAAAGAATTAATATCCCCGTAGCACCCTACTGCCCAACCCTGTTCCAGTTTGTCCTGGAAGGATTTTCTTCTAAATGTCCGAAGTCGTCCTGAGCGTCTTGGCGAATTGCCAC